AGGAAAAAAAAAACATGAATCGATTATCTTGCGGACGTGTCGATGCATCGGATCGTCGGCTTTTGGATCAATGCATCGATACAAAACGATTATTATTTACACCCCTAGCTCAGAAGGAGAAGCAGGAAATCAGTGCGAGAACACAGAGAGAGAGAAAGAACCAGTACCCCTGTCCAACTCCCAGCTGGCCGGGAGAAGCAAAGAGGTACATCAGAGAAGCCCACCCGGGATACCATGCTAGGAGAGTCTATGGCTGGGTTTAACCTCTAGAGGGTAACTGCTTTAGATGGAAGAAGACAGAAGAGGATCAGCTGCACCTCCAGGCATAACAATCAGCAGAGCTTAATTCATAGGTGACGCAACAATCAAATTTGGTGAAATTCCCCGAAATTGTTCCATTCACCGTGCTAAATTGCTGTTTCACTTTGCTCCAGACTTGCCCAGTACATAGAGATAACATACAAATTCTTCCCTCCAGTTGTGAAATTCTAGTTAGATGTGGACGTACCCTAAGGCTTAAGGCAATGTTTTTAATTTCCCAAATCAGTGAACCAATCCTTCCACTAACACAGGATGGTGGGATGATGACCTTTGGGGTCTTCTCAGATCTATCATGGTGAGAAAGGTCATTGGATTTGATATTTTAAAAACCAGGCCTGAAATTTAGTGACAACAATTCATTATGCAGCCTTGTGGCACTCCAATGTTTATGGTGATGGTGGATGAGAAGTTGTTGTCCAGTCAGACATGTTGGGGCTGGCTGGTCAGGAAGCTGAGCAACCAGTTCCACATGAGTGGAATGATGCTGAAGTCTGTGAGTTTGGTAATACATTTTGATAGGATGACAGTGTTAAATACTGAACTAAAATCTATAAACAGCATTCGGGCCTATGTATTCTTACTTTCCAACCTTGAAAGGTGCAGCAGTATAGAGACTGCATCCTCTGTGCTCCTGTTCTGTCAGTATGCAAATGGCTGGGGTCCAGTGTGGGGGAGACAGGATCTGAGGTGATCTAGAAACAGCTGCTAAAAGCACTTTGTGATGATGGATGTGAAGGCCACCGGATGGTAGCCATTGAGTCTGGATGGGTTAGAGTTCTTAGGATTGGGATGATGGAGGTGGACCTGAAGCAGGTCGGAATCACAGTGTGGGCCAGGGGCAGGATGAAGATGTCTGTCAGCACTCCTGCCAGCTCCCCAGAGCACAGTCTGAGGACATGTCCAGGGATGCCATGGATGGAAATCAGTGTGGAAGGACTTCAGAGATTATATCCTTGGAGGAGAAAGCAGTCTAATAAAAATAGCTGCCACAGACTCACTCCACATATTGTGTGCTCCATTTACATGTACGGCTGTTACAGTTACTCAGTGACTACATTTTAAAAGTTAGTTTAAGTACAGTCATGGATGGTAAGATAAACATTACCTATATTACTCTGTCCGGCTATGTGGATCTTAATAAATACAGATATTTTTACTTTTCTGTTATATTTACAGTGTACATTTTAATCATCTGCAGTAATGCCACTATTCTTTATCTTATCTGGATTCACAAAAACCTCCATGAACCTATGTACATTTTTATTGCAGGTCTGTTATTTAACTCTCTTCTCTACAGCACTAATATTTACCCAAAGCTTTTGATCGACTTTTTGTCAGAAAAACCAATCATATCATACTCAGCTTGTCTTTTACAGTTTTTCATGTTTTATTCTATAGGTGGTTCAGAGTTCTTACTGTTAGCAGCCATGGCCTTTGACAGATATGTGGCGATATGTAAACCTCTGAATTATCGAAATATCATGACAAAAAAAAAAGTTTATATTTTCCTGTTTCTGGCGTGGTTTTTTCCTGCTTGTCATCTTGCAGTGCAAGCAATACTAAGCGCTAAAGCTGAAATATGCCACTTTAATTTGTTGGGAATATTTTGTAACAATACCATGTATACAGTTCACTGTGTGAGATCAAGAGTACTTACAGTATTTGGGGTCATTGCTTTATTAAATTTGGCATTTCTTCCAACCCTCTTTACAATTTTTACATACACTAAAGTCTTTATGACATCTTACCAAAGTTGTAAAGAGTTAAGGAAAACGACCGCCCAGACATGCATACCCCACCTATTGGTTTTGACCAGCTACTTTTGTGTGATGACATATGATGTTATTATAGCTCGGGTGGAGTCAGATTTGCCTAAAAATGCACGCTTTATACTGACAATACAAACATTTTTGTATCATCCTTTGATTAATCAATTCATGTATGGGTTCAAAATGAAAGAAATTAATAAACATCTAAAAAAGTTTCTATGTTCAGCTTAAGCAGGAAATACTTTGGATTCTTTTCTGAAATTATTTTCTTAGCATCAAGAATCCTCTATATCGTAATGTACATAAAGCTTGACACAGCTGAAGTTTAATTTGTTACCTGAAAAAATCTATCTCTCTTCCTGGTCAAAAGAGGCAGTGTGAAAGAAAGTCCTCCTCTGGTAATTTCATCTGTTTTTATACTGTTTGGTAATGATATTTAGAGCAAATAAGTTTGTATTGATTAGGATAAAAAATACATTCAATTAACTTTTTGTTTTTCTTAATCATTTGTATAAAATGCTTTAGTAATACATACATGTTTAAGCATGCTTTTCCTGCATCTGCATCTTTATTGATGCTTTTAGCTGTATTAGAAATTAAAATTTAGGTATAGAAGTGTCAGTATAAAGTATTAAGAAAAGTATTTCCCATCTTACAGTTTTTACAAAGTTTATAACATCAACAAAATCAATAATAAAGTGTAAAAATTGGTTCCAATGACTTGCTATGCAATATTTGGTGAAGTAAAATACAACTGACCCACTTGTCTTTGCTAAATTGTTATAATCCTGTAATTTTTAATTCCTTGTTTGAGTTTGAAATCCAGCCACTCAAGTGAATGGGAAAGCTTTTATGTTGTGTCCAGCCATTCACAGGTGGACTTGCTCGAGGGCTTCATAACTTCCTGATTCTCTGACAAAAGGCAAGATTTGGACTTAATCATTTCACAATCTTTGAGCATTTATGACAGTAATCCCTGTAATAATGCACAAGTTAGATGATGTATCACAACAATCTAATCCAACAGACAAATTAGTCCATTGATAACTGGGCAGGAAGTGTTCATTGACCAATTAATAGAGTTAAATGTTTAGATGACATAAAAGGTGGAGGAAAAAGAAAAGCACATGAGTTAAATGTCAACACAGAAACACACAAGCACAAATCTCACTGCAAAGCTTTTAAAACAAAGGTAAACCACTATTGTTTTAAACTAGATTGATATTGTATGTAGCCTTGGGTAAAGAGAGAGCTGAATTGGCGATTTGTGCTTGAATTACACTGAATACCCCAAGACCAGTGATTCAGGCTTACGGCCATAGAAAGAAAGCAACTTTTCAATGATTGTGTTGTACTGTAAAAGCCTTAAGGTCACAAAATGTCTTACTAACTTCTATTTGTGAGCAGAATTTGTGGTTTCATAAAATTCAAGTCATCCAGATTCAGCAAAGTCACCACCATCCCCTGGGAGCCACTTCTAAAAACGTTTACCACTTTCGTCTGTTTTATCAATTTGTGTGGAATGGATCTTACCGTGGTTCATTGTCCAAATCCTTAGAAAATACTTTGTAACCCTTTTCAGAGTAATAAATTTCACTTGACTTAACTCCCTTCCTATGTCTTCATGATTTTCTTTTAATATTAAAATTTTTGGAATATCAATTTTTTGCGGCATGTGTTGCATTGTGAGATATTAGCCTATTTTCTTGAAATTTGTTGGCCTGGTATGGCAAGGGAACTCCCAAATTGTAGTCTACCAAAGTTAATAACATTGTATAATAAGAGGAGCAGACATATTTTGGTACAAAGCTTGTTTGGTTTGGATGGCTTTGAAAAGAATGGAATCATAATTTTGTAACATTCATTTGTATTTCCTCAGGTTATTTTTGTTTATCTTTGAATATCATAAAAGTTTAAGTGAGCTGAAAAGAAAAGGTGAAAGAAATTGGTATTGAAACTTTATGGTAAAAATCAGATGATTTTTAGATATTCTGCTTGAGGCCCAACACCTCGGGAGTGATGACTTGTCAAAAACAATGACAATGCAAAATGACATTTCACAATTATTTGAAACCACTAGTACATAAAATCACTGTTTAAAACAATAAATAAATGAGGTCCAGATTTCAGAAAAGGAGGCAGATCTTGTCATGATCTTGGCGCTGATGGTTTGTTATTTTCCTTTGCTCCCTGTTCCCCTGTGTAATTGGTTTTGCGGCTGATTATCGCCGATTATTTCCACCTGGTTCCTCTACTATTTAAGTTGTGTGTTTGCTTCCCATCAGCGGCAGGTTATTTGTGTGTTTTGGTGAGACGTTTCCTAGCATTCTGTAGTCTGTCTGTTTTCCTGATTTTGACCAGTTTCTGCCCTGAGGATCTCAAGTTTTGCCTTGCCCCTGTCTGCTCTGTTTGTCTGATCTGATCCTGGATTCTAACGGCTTCTGAACCTGGAACTGTGTGCTGACTTTGGCCTTGGATTTCCCTTCTGGACTCTGTTGCTGCTCGGCGTCGGCTGGCGCCCGTTCGCTCTCTAGGAACTCTGGGGGCGTTGCCCGCCGCAACTGCGGTCAAACCTCCCTCGCGGATTCTGTTGTGTTCTCTGCGAACGGACTGAACTTTGAATCAGGTCAGTGACTAGCTCCAAGTCGTATTCAGCTTCACATCCAGTCACTGACCTGTATTCTCCTGTCCCTGCAGAGATCCGCCCCGCAGCCGACGAGCAGCCCCGCGCACCTGTATGTTTAATAAAAGCTTTGAACTTTCCCACTGCCTGTCTCGCCTTGAATTCTGGGTCCATCATTCTTAGATCATTACAGATCTGGAGCAAGCCTAAACTGGATTACAGAGTCATGAGACCCAGAGCAACTCTTTACTTATAAATAACAGATTGAATGTAATGTTACTGCTACACATTATTAATCTGAAACTGCTATGACTGAATCTGTTTGGGAAAGAGGAACATTCAGCAGAATCTTTGAGGCAGAATCTTTGGGCGTGCGACATCTAGTTCTTGTCTATAATACTTTGATCTTAGCCAATCACAGTAGCCAATGAGAATCAGAGACGATGAGAAACCTATCAGCCTATGCACTTGCTGTTTTTCTTTTAAATATGAAATCATGGGTTTTGACAAAACAGATGTGATAGCAGTGGCTGAGTGACTAAGTAGATCCGTTTTTGTCACAGATATGTAACACTTTAAACCATGAAACTGCAACATGAATGGCCAACTGCTTAAATATGTGATGGTGTAGTGTTGCCTTTTGCTTTCAAAGATACTAAACCAGGAAGTTGCAGGTCTAGTGAGTAACAGTTACATGGTATTGGTATATAGTGTAACTCACCCCAAGCAAAAATACAACCCCACCCCAGAAACATTTTGAAAAATGCTACCTATGTGGTTGGTGCCAAGAGACTCTGAGGGACAGGGCAGTTGTAGGAATGAGTGATGGGGATTTACCATGGCTGTGGTGTGAATGAGAGGAAGGGAAGNGTGGTTGGTGCCAAGAGACTCTGAGGGACAGGGCAGTTGTAGGAATGAGTGATGGGGATTTACCATGGCTGTGGTGTGAATGAGAGGAAGGGAAGTTAGCTTAGCTTAGCGTTATTGTCATGATGGATCAAAGGAGCAAGCCCATATGCAGAACACACACGGAGGAGGCAGGGAAAAAGTTCAAAGGTTTATTAAAAGTTCCGAACAGAAGGGAACTGGAATCCTGAATCTGAGGCTGGACGGCTCTGGGTCTAGTTTGCAGTTCAATGTCTAATCCGATGGCTAGCTCTATGAGGTCTTCAAGGTTAGCTGGCTCATCGTAAAATGTTAGCTCATTCCTGACTGGTTCATTTAGAGCTAGGAGATAAGTGGTTTTAAGAGCAGACTCGTTCCACCCGGAAACGGCTGCTTTTACCTGGAAATCGGAAGAAAACTCGGCAACGGATCTATCTCCCTGTTTAGTTCATAGAAGACCACTGGAAACGATGGAATTATTAGAGGCTTGGTTAAAAGTCCTTTCAAAATTCTGGATGAAATTCTCATAAGTACAGTTAACTCTAGTTTTAAATGGAAATCTGGTCTCTGCCCATTCAAGGGCTTTTCCGGACAGGAAAGACATGACAAAAGATATCCTACTCATATCATACAGGAAACTAGACTCATAAAATTCAAAAAATAGCTGACAATGGAACAGAAATCTCCTGAGCTTACTTACTTACAAAACAGAAGTTATAGTCTTTGGACCAGAGTCTCTGAAA